GCTGAGGCAGGAGAATTGCCTGAACCCAGGAGGCGGAGGTTGCGGTGAGCCGAGATCGCGCCATTGCACTCCAGCCTGGGTAACAAGAGCGAAACTCCGTCTCAATAAAAAAAAAAGTTTGCAAGACGCTTCTTTTTTTAAGCTTCCTTAAATCTATTCCTTAAGTGTTGATATTTCAGATTATCAGAAGTTCTTATATTCTAGAAAATAGTCTATAATATAATACATATTTTATTAAAAAAAATAAACTAAGACTATTTTTCCAAGAATAGGGATAGATTTTTGTTTTCTTTCATGATCTCCTGGGTTTTGTAACCTATTTAAATAATGGTATATAAATAGCTGTGGAACAGAACAAAAAGAAATGAAGTAATGTCTGTCATGGAAATTACACCTCGATGACTGATGACTGTAGCCATATGAATGCATGCATTAACCACTGACTTAAGAAGTACTCTTAGATTAATATGTCAAGTCCTTTGAGGGGGAAACTTTTTTTTCCCTCTCTTTCTGACTTCATGGGACGTGGAAAGTGATGAAAGAAAGGAGGACAAGGAGTCTTCCTTGTTGACAATTATAGCAGTAATGGACTATTGAAATTGCCGTTTATTTGCTGGTTCTTTATGAAATAAAGATGGAGATTCCTTTTATGTCACTAAATTATTAACCATAACTCAGATAACACACCATACATTGTCTTTACACAGTGAGGTCATTGTGTACTTATACCTTTCAGTCAATCGCATGTGCCAAAGACCAAGTTTAGTATCAGTAGGTGTGTTTACAAACCATTCTGGTTTTGTGGTTAATGTTTGTGAAAATAGTCTTACCACTTTTAACAGCTTCTTTTTTTTTTGAGATGGAGTTTTGCTCTTGTTGCCCAGGCTGGAGTGCAATGGTGTGATCTCAGCTCACCACAACCTCTGCCTCCCAGGTTCAAGTGATTCTCGAGCCTCAGCCTCCCAGGTAGCTGGGATTACAGGCATACATCACCACGCCTGACTAATTTTGTGTTTTTAGTAGAGACGGGGTTTCTCCATGTTGGTCAGGCTGGTCTCCAACTCCCGACCTCAGGTGATCCACCCGCCTCCACCTCCCAAAGTGCTGGGATTACAGACATGAGCCACCGCACCCTGCCTTTAACAGCTTCTCAAGTGAATTCAAGAACTTAGTGCATACTTGCTGTATTTGAAGGGTTATTTGCTAGTTTTTCTGTGTAGTTCCTCACCTCCCTGCCACCAATATCAAGTAATTACTCCATCTAAGACGATAAAATAGGTCCCTTAAAATCAGAACACTTAATTTTGATGCAGAAAGTTTTTTTTGTTTGGTCTGCTTTGATGTGGTTTGCCTTTGCAAAAGTGGAGTTGGAGGAATTGGAAGGAGGTCCTAGGAGGAAGCCATTTTCGTGACGTAGAATATAATGCGTGTATGTTTTAATTTATATAATTTTCTTTTTAATGTTTAAAATGTCCTGTTTCCTAATAAATTAGTTAGTTGGCCAAATAAATGAATCATTTGTTTTAAACAGGTCAAGGTGAAGATGTTCTTAAAGGGTCCCAGATTACCTATGTTACAGGTGTAGAAGGGGACGATGTTGTTTCCACACAAGTAGCCACAGTAACTCAATCTGGGCTAAGTCAACAAGTTACACTCATATCGCAAGATGGGACTCAGCATGTAAGTATCCACCAAAAGCCAAACAAATGAAATCTTTCCATGAACCTGGGCTTGAAAGGCAGCCTGGGTCCCCATTGAAGAAAGCTTTGAAATACCAAGGTGCAAAGTTTGGAAACCCTGAAGGTTTTTCAGTAGTCTGCTTAAAGAGACTCCATGCAGAGAGATTAGGAGAGAGAGAATGTTTGTGACTGTAGAATCCAAATGGTGTTACTGGTGTAGCTCAAAAGTGAGATGTTTAAAGTCAGCCACAAAGAGGTTGAGTGCTTGAAAGGTACTGGATCCATGTGAAACACAGCTCAGAAAAGGGATAGGATTTGGTGGCTGATTAGATCCAGGAGGTGAGACTGAGAAAACAGAGGTTTGGCTGAGGTGATCAGCATGTTATGGTACCATTAAGAGATGAGGAATCATGAGAGTTCACTCAGCTAGCTTCACAGAGTCCATAGAATAGGTATCTCCCAGGCAAAGCACAGTATAATGGTTGTTCTCTGATAGCCAGACTTTTTATTATTTTCTAGATGCCATTAGCCTAAAATAATTCCACCTTGATTCCATTTTTAAGCTCTAGCCAAGGCTGTTTTAATACCTGGTGGAAATACACACAATGTGGTTTTTTACCCTTCTTGTGTCTGCCTCTTTCATGGAGAATGCTCTCCTTACCCATCTCTCTTAGAGCTTAATGATTCATCTGCCCTGTTTTGATACTCAGGATTAGAAAGTACAAAGTTCTTCTGCCATCTCATTTTTCTCCCTCCTTACTTTGATGTTATTAATTTCACACTATACTGTTTGTCCTCTGACTGGCATGCAAGATTATTAACCAAGTTTTAATTCTGCATCACCGTTAATACTTTTTCTTGAATTGGATCGTCATATACAGAGGTCCTCTGGAAGTTTGTTTTACATAACCTCCCGCTTCCCTATACAGGAAAAATTCCCACTACAGTTCAAAAATAGCTACTACTGAGAAACCCCCAGTGATCAGGCAGTTTCTGTCTTAGGCATTTTGGGGCTGGGCGCGGTGTCTCACACCTGTAATCCCAGCACTTTGGGTGGCCGAGGCAGGCAGATGACCTAAGGTCGGGAGTTCTAGACCAGCCTGACCAACATAGAGAAACCCCGTCTCTACTAAAAATATAAAATTACCTGGGCGTGGTAGCACATGCCTGTAATCCCAGCTACTTGGGAGGCTGAGGCAGGAGAATCACTTGAACCCAGGAGGTAGAGGTTGTGGTGAGCCAAGATTGCGCCATTGCATTCCAGCCTGGGCAACAAGAGTGAAACTCTATTTCGAAAAAAAAAAAAAAAAAAAAAGTTGTCTGAACTGTAGGTGATGGGGAGTCACGGGATTTCAGCAGAGAGCATAAGATTTTTTTTGTTTTGTTTTAGAAAGATGTCAGTGTAGAGAATGGTTAGGGAAGGGTTAAACTGGGTACCTGGAGAGAGTTGGATTATTGTAGAAATTCAGATAGGTGAAAAATAAGGATCTAAGTTAGCAATAGGAGTGGAGAGGAGGAACCGCATTTAAGAAATACTGTGTTGCCGGGCACAGTGGCTCACACCTGTAATTCCAGCACTTTGGGAGGCTGAGACGGGAGGATCACTTGAGGCCAGGAGTCTGACACCAGCCTGGGCAACATGGTGAGACCCCATCTCTACAAAAAATAAAAATAAAAAATTAGCCTGGAGCAATGGCTTACGCCTGTAGTCCCAGCTACTCAGGAGGATGAGGCTGGAGGATCACTTGAACCCAGGAGTTTTAGGCTCTGCACTCCAGCCCGGGCAACAGAGCGAGGCCTAATGATATTATTATTTTTATTATTCTTTTTAGAAGAATAACATTATTTGTATATCTAAAAAGAATAATAATAAAATAAGAATTTTTAAAAGAAACATTGTATTGTTTGTTCTGATGACTGAATGTGTTTATTTCATTCCAAAAGGCTTCTTTACATTCATAGGGCAAACTTATACAAAGATTAGTCCCAGTCCTTATGTAAGATTGTCAGCTATAAGAAGAAACATTGACAGATTTGTAAAATTCACTGTATTGCAGGTCAACATATCTCAAGCAGACATGCAGGCCATTGGCAACACCATCACAATGGTAACGCAGGATGGCACGCCCATCACAGTCCCTGCCCATGATGCAGTCATTTCCTCAGCAGGAACACACTCTGTTGCTATGGTTACTGCTGAGGGTACAGAAGGGCAACAGGTAATTACTTTTTTCTGTTATATCAATTAGTACATATATCAGTACCAAAACTGTCACACAGATATACAGTGTGGTACAACAGTTAAACACAAACTTTGGAGTGAATAATATTTTGCAACTTCTTAGCTACTTAACCCTCAGAGCCTGTTTTTCCTCATTTGTAATATAGAGTGTTAGTTGCATCTACCCCATAAGGTTGATATAAGGATTGAATGAGATAATGCATATAAGTTACTCAGCCTACATATATATTAAGTATTCATTAGTGGTAGCCATTCCTGTTACCATCATTATCAGATACTTAGGAAATAATTGCAAAATTTACTATTTAATTTTTTGAATATGTCATATATTCACATGGTTCAGAACTCAAAAAAATATATACAGTTGTGTAATGAAGCATTCATCCCACCCCTGCCTTCATCAGCTCAGTTCTTGCCTCCACAGATGATCAACTTTTATCAGTTTTTTGTGTATTCTGCCAGTCATTAAGCATATACAAACAAATAAAAATAAATAATCAACTCCCCTTACCTTTTTTTTAACTAGCACACAGCTAACATAATGGCTCTGTTTTCATTTATGAGACAGGCGGGAGTGCAGTGGCATGATCACGGCTCACTTCAGCCTCAACCTCCCAGGCTCAAATATCCTCCCACCCCAGCCTCCCAAGTAGCTGGGACTACAGGTGTGCACCACCATGCCTGGCTAATTATTTATTTATTTTTTTAGAGATGAGGTCTCACTGTGTTGCCCAGGCCTTGGCCTCCCAAAGTGCTGGGATAACAGGCATGAGCCACCATGCCCAGCCTCCTTTTTTTTTAATGGTAGTAAACTAGTCTGCTCTATATATTGTTGTTGTCTTTTAAACTTAACAATACATTTTCAAAATCTTTCTCTGTCATTATATAGAGAGCGTTCTCCTTCCTCTTTTTTTAAGCTGCATTGTACTCCACTGTATGGCTATGCCGTAATTTATTTAAAGTCTTTTGCTATTTCAAACAGCACATTACCTGGTGCACATGTGGTTTTGCGCATGTGTGAGTAGATATGCTAGATAAATTCTTAGAGCAGGATTGCTGGTGCAAAGATACGTGCATTTGTTAATTATTATCAATGTTGCCAAACTTCCCTTCTAGGGTTGTGCCAGTCTCCATTCCCACCTGCAGGGTTTGAGAGTGCCTGTTCTCCTTCAGCATGGTCACCATGGTAGTATCAAACTTTTGGATTTTTTTCCAATCTAACGTATTTTTTGTAGTTTTAATTTTCATTTCCACCAATCTGATTTTTTTTTTTTGTAGTTTTAATTTTCATTTCAAATAAATAACGTAATATATTTAAAAACTGTTCTTGGCCAGGCACGGTAGCTCAAGCCTATAATCCCAGCACTTTGGGAGGCTGAGGTGGGTGGATCACCTGAGGTCAGGAGTTTGAGACCAGCCTGATCAACATGGAGAAACCCCATCTCTACTAAAAATACAAAATTAGCCGGGTGTGGTGACGCATGCCTGTAATCCCAGCTAATCGGGAGGATGAGGCAGGAGAATCGCTTGAACCCAGGAGGCGGAGGTTGGGGTGAGCCGAGATTGTGTCACTGCACTCCAGCCTGGGCAACAAGAGTGAATCTCTGTCTCAAAAAAACAAAACAAAACTGTTCTTGTACTGTGCTAAAGGCAATGTTGAGTCTCACTGTTGAAAAATAAATGAAGTTGGTAGTCTTATACACCCTGAAATGTAAAACTCAGAATCATAAAGCTTCTAGAAGAAAAGAGAGGCAAATAGCTTTGCAGCCTTAGGGTAAAGATTTCTTGGACTGTATTCAAAATGTACTAACAATGAAAGAAAAAAACTGATAAATTGGACTTCATATTAATTCTGCTAACCGAAAGGCACCGTTAAGAAAAACATCAGACAACCCCCAGACTGAGGAAAAGATATTCATACTATATACACACACTATATTTACACAATACAAGTCTAAAAATGGACTTGTATTATGAATATGTAACAGGGTGGGCACGGTGGTTCACGCCTGTAGTCCCAGCACTTTGGGAGACCGAGGTGGGCGGATCACAAGGTCAGGAGTTCAAGACCAGCCTGGCCAAGATGGTGAAACCCCATCTCTACTAAAAATACAAAAACTAGCTGGCATGGTGGTGTATGCCTGTAATCCCAGCTATTCAGGAGGTTGAGGCAAAAGAATCTCTTGAACCTAGGAGGCAGAAGTTGCAGTGAGCTGAGATCTTGCCACCGCACTCCTGCCTGGGTGACAGAGGGAGACTCTGTCTCAAAAAAAAGAAAGAAAAGAATATGTAACAAATTTCTACAAATCAACAATAAAAAGATGAACAACTATTAAAAATGAGCCAAAAAAGTGTTTTAAAATGTACAAATTATTTAGTTTCTCATTGAACAGACCTCCTGCAAAAGATACTTAACACAAAAAGTGCACATCTTTTATCATCAAAGAAATGCAAATTAACATCACAATGAGAGAGCATTTCAGACCCAAGAAAATGGCTAAAATCAAAGACTAACAAAACCAAATGTTGATTTCTCCTGAGAAACTAGTGAGGAAACAACCACCACCACCACCTCCAAATGCTGGCAAAGATGTGGAGCAAATGCAACATTCATACACTGCTAGTGGGTGTGTAAAATGATGTAAATAGCCAATAGGCACATGAAAAGATGTTCAACATCATTAGTCATTAAGAAAATGCAAACCAAAACTATAATGAGATACCACTTTACACCCACGAGGATGGCTATTATTAAAAATCAAGTGTTGGCAAACGTGAAAAAATTATCTTGAACATTGTAGGTTAGAATGTAAAATGGTACAGCCAGTGTGGAAAGCAGTATGTTCCTCAGAAAATAGAACACAGAATTACATGTGATCCAGCAATTCTACTCCTAGGTATTCACCCAAAAGAATTGATAATAGAGACTCAAACAAGTACTTGTACACCAATGTTTGTGGCAGCATTACACAAAATAGCTTAAATGTGAAAATAACCCTGGTGTCCATTAACAGATGAGTGGCTAAACAAAATGTGGTATATCTATACAATGGAATATTGTTCAGCCATAAAAAAGAATAAAGTATTGATAATATGGTACAACATGGATGAACCTTGAAAACATGCTAATTCAAAGCAGCCTGACACAAAAGGACTGTCGTACGTTGTAAAATTCTGCTTATATGAGGTATCTTGAGTAGGCAAATTCATAGAAACAGAAAGTAGAATAGAGGTTACTAAAGACAGTGGTGGCCGGGCATGGTAGCTCACACCTGTAATCCCAGCACTTTGGGTGGCTGAGGTGGGCAAATCATGAGGTCAAGCAATTGAGACTATCTGGCCAACATGGTGAAACCTTATCTCTGTGAAAAATACAAAAATGTAGCTTGTAGAGAGCTGCAAAAAGAAAAAATACAAAAATGAGCTGGGCGTGCTGGTGCACGTCTGTGGTCCCAGCTACTCGGGAGGCTGAGGCAGGAGCACTGCTTGAACCTTGGAGGCAGAGGTTGCCGAGATCCAAGATCTCGCCACTGCACTCCAGCCTGGCGACAGAGCAAAACTCCATCTCAAAAAAAAAAAAAAGGCTGTGGTAAAGGAGTGATAGGGAGTTACTGTTTAATAGATAGTTTCTTAATAAGATGATGCAAAAGTTCTAGAAAATAGTGATGATGGTTACACAGCGTTGTGAAGGTACTTAATACTACTGAATTGTACACTTAAAAATGATTAAATGAGGCCAGGCATGGTGGCTCACGCCTGTAATCCCAGCACTTTGGGAGGCCAAGGTGAGTGGATCATTTGGGGGCAGGAGTTCCAGACTAGCCTGGCCAACATGGTGAAACCCCATCTCTACTAAAAATACAAAAAGTAGCTAGGTGTGGTGGCACACACCTGTAGTCCCAGCTACTCAGGCTGAAGTGGTACGATTACTTGAACCTGAGAGGTGGAGGTTGAAGTGAGCTGAGATCGTGCCACTGCACTCGAGCCTGGCAACAGAGGGAGAATCTGTCTCAAAAAAAAAAAAAAAGGTTAAATGGTATATGTTATATGTATTTTACCACAATAAAAAATAAATAACTGGGCTGGGTGCAGTAGCTCACACCTGTAACCCTAGCACTTTGGGAGGCAGTGGTGGGTGGATCATGAAGTCAAGAGATCGAGACCATCTTGGCCAACATGTTGAAATCCTGTCCCTACTAAAAAAAAAAAAATTAGCCAGGTATGGTGGTGCACACCTGTAATTCCAGCTACTCTGGAGGCTGAGGCAGGAGGATCACTTGAACCTGGGAGGCGGAGGTTTCAGTGAGCTGAGATCGTGTCACTGCACTCCAGCCTGGCGACAGAGCAAGACTCTGTCTCAAAAATAAATAAATAAATAGCCAGGCATGGTGGCTTATGCCTGCGAGACCAGGCTGGCCAACATGGTGAAAATCCATCTCTACTAAAAATACAAAAATTAGCCCTGGTGGCAGGTGCCTGTAATCCCAGCTACTAGAGAGGCTGAGGCAGGAGAATCACATGAACCTAGGGGGCAGAGGTTATAGTCAATCGACCTTGTGCCTCTGCACTCCAACCTGGTTAACAGAGTGAGACTCTGTCTCAAATAAATAAATAACTTTTAAAAATTTAGCCTTATATGTTTTTTTTTCATCCAGCCCAAAATGTCGTATATATGCTTCTTAATGGAAAACTTGGAAAATTTAAAATTTATGAATGAGCCGGGCGCGGTGGCTCAAGCCTGTAATCCCAGCACTTTGGGAGGCCGAGGCGGGTGGATCATGAGGTCAAGAGATCGAGACCATCCTGGTCAACATGGTGAAACCCCATCTCTACTAA